AAAAATAATTTTTTTTGATTTTATTTCAATAAATGACATAATAGAACATGAATTTTGAATGAAAAATTTATGTTCTATCATGAATCACTTAGACCTCTTATTTGATTTTTAAGTTTTATTCCAATAGATAGTATAATTGTATATTAATTACAATTTTTTTAAAAAAATTAAAATTTTATTTTTAATTTTATTTCAATAAATGATACAATAAAATAGGAATTTTAATTGTAAAATTTAAAATATTTGATATTTTATCTTTAATTATAATATTTTTTGTTTAATTATAATATTTTAAACTTAAGTAGTCTAAGTATTATATACTTATAAACTTTAAGGGAGTTTAAGTGTAATTTATTAATGAATATATTTATAGCAGAGATTTAAGTGTTATGCATGCGGTCTGTGTGTAATATTTTAAATGTTATGGGTCTAACTGATTAAGTGATAAACCTCAGGGAGTATGAGTGTAACTCTCCCTAAAACTAAATATTAAATTAAAAAAATTGAATGTTAATTTTATAAAATTGAATAACCATTTGGTTTTGGTTTGATAAAATAGAATGCTAATTTGAAATTCAATAAAAAAGTTATGTTAATTTGATAAATTGGATGTTAAATTGATGAAATTAAATCTTAGTTTGGAATTAATTTGATGACATTGAATATTGATTTGGTGTTAATTTTATAAAATTGAATATCGATTTGATAAGATTGAATGTTAGTTTGCCGAAATAAAATGATAATTTTATAAAATTTACTATCAATTTCACATTAATTTATGTATTAATTTGATTAAATTGATAGTTAATTTGTTGTTAATTAGATAAAATTGAATATTAATTTGGTAGTTAATTTGATACAGTTTAATGTGATTTTGATAAAATTGAATGTTAATTTGGTGTTAATTTTATGAAATTGAATATTAATTTGATATTAAATTAATAAAATTGAATGTAAATTTGATGAATGTGAATGTTAATTTGACAAAATTTAATGTTAATTTGGCCGTCTCAAAGCAATCAGTCCATTCTGGATTATGTATTGCACAAACAAAAATGGCGAGCAATTTTTTATATACAATTTTGAGGTTTTGGTTGAGAAGAAGAACGTTTCAGAAACCCTATTGGACAAATGCAACACGCCGTAGTTGAGTTGAATTTTTTAAGGTATACAGTTTAATTCGCTCTTAATAGAACGGTTACACCATGACGTAACCATCAATATCTCTCTCTTGGACTATTCCCTCTTTCTCCTCTCTTACTTCACCATCCTCTCTCTCCCATACACCGACAACACAGTCAGCTCGTGAACACTGGGTTTTCAGATTCGGCGAACTGCAGAAGAAGCAACCCGTGAGCCCTTCAAGGATCTGTCTTCACTCATTACTCCTCTGTTCTTCTTCAGCTTAACGTTGGCGAGGTTAGAAATTGATTTCGAAATCCTATATCAAATTTCTTGAATGAATTAGTTTTGTTTGATGTTTCGTGGATTTTGTAATTTGTGTTCCAATTTGAGTGTTACTGTGTTGAATTTGAAAATTGTGCTTGAATTTTGTTGTCACTGTTAGTGAAATTACGAAACTAGTGGTGATAATTTTCTTCCCTAGAATTTTCCTTTGTGTTTGTTGTTGTAATCCTCTGATGATAATTCATCTCTTTTTATTTTTAGTGCCATTCCAGTTGCGGTAATAATATTTAGGAGTTGGTTTCTCTCTTTAATAATATTTAGGACCTTTTGGGCCATCCAATAGAGGAATTATCTAACTCCTTCTCATACATTAACTATTTTCGAATACCTTTTCTTCCTTCTCTTCATTTATTTTTATAGAACACCTTTTTGGTTATCCACAACTTCACATATATTTATTTTATTAGGTAGAAAGATATCAGAGCTCATTTCATGGGAATACTTGCTTGTATGAGTTTTTTTTTTTTATATCCAGTTCACAATTGTGACCAAAGCAGTTTGCTTTTCAGGAAGTGCTTGGGACCCTACCCGTGACAAGACCATGATATTTAAGCTCTTTGATTCAAACCTTGATGTGGCCGATAATGGAAGTACCCCCCCCCCCCCCCCCCCCCTGCTATCTTCAAAACGTTTCAAACAACAAATTGATGAAGGAAGCATGGTAACCCCCACTTTTCATGTTTATTCTCCATCTTTTTCTTGGAAAGTGCTATGTGTCCGCTAATTTTTGCAATCGTGTTTGTATGCGTGGTTATCAGCTCATGAGGTCGTTTTGCATCTTACATAGCTATCTTCACTAGAGGAATACAAATTTGTTTATTTAGTAGATTAATATTTGAATCTGATTAGTGTGATATATTGACTCACATGGTCATGATTAATGGGTGAACATGGGTTTTTTTTCCCTTCTTTTTTATCTCTATTATTTTGGTTTGGGGTGGTGATTGGAGGGGTTGGTTAATAAGTTTAATAGACAAATGAGAGGGTTAAGCATAGCTCCCATCCAAAAAGAATAAATAAATTGATAAAGGAAACCCGGGGGTGATGCATGGAGATTTGTCATAGGGAGGTGAGCACACTAGTTTAAAAGGGGTGGACTATTCTGGGACAAATTTACAATCAAATAGCAGTAATAGCTATAAATTTTGCACTCATTGAGCACTAATTTTAGTTCTTTGCTTTTATTAATCTTTTGCAAAGTGCCCTAACAAGTTCTGCTTTTCTTTGCAGAATTGTAGTGTTGAATTATGACTATCCCCTTCCCTTTGGGTATATTATATCATCTAAGAAAGATTGCATTATGACCACGGTATAAAATGACCATGGTCGGCCAATATAGATTTTTGTTCCTGGATTTGAGTTGAAGACGTTATAGCCATGATGGTGCAGATATGAATGAATATCTCAGTAAAATCTTTATTATATGTCCTCATACTTCGGTTATCACACTCGAGCGCTTTTACTGAAATCATGCATACCAATGGCATATTTGGAAAATGTTCATGACCAAGTCTTACGGTATCAAAGATTTCACCTTTCCTATACAACTGAGTATCACCCCAAGACATCCTTTTCATTGACTTAGTTTTTTAGGAAGAGTAAAATCTTGGGATGATAGACTGTGTTTGAGGGTGCCACAGTAGTTTTGTAAGATTATGATATCTAAGTTTATAATATGTTAAGGGTATTCAAATATGGTATCAGCACAAGAAATAACATGTAAAAAACTAGAATATCCAGTCATAACTGCACGATCATGGCTGCAAATGACTTCAACTCAAAATTAGGGACAAAAACCTATATTGGCCGACCATGAAGACCAATTTTTACCATGGTCATAATACAATTTTTATTAAATGATAAAAAATAGCCAAAAAGCATGACTTTAATTTTGTAGTGATAATTCTACACACACATTGCTATGCTATGGGATTTTTGGAATCGAGGTTTTGGAGTTAACACTGCTAGATGGGTCATCTGAAACCGAAGAATTTCAAGAAAAATTCATCATTTTGCTAAGAGGCTACCTCAAACCAATGTCATTGCTTGCATAGCTTCGTTGCAGATTGAAAAATTACATCTTGAACTCCCATATGTAATAGTTTATTTTTATTCTATGTTTATCATACTGTTTTTGTTTTGTTAATTTAATATTTGCGCCGTAACATAAAACATGGTTGTGATCAATTTAATTTCCTTGTATAGATTCATCAGGATTTAAGTCTTGAACTTCAACCTAGTACAAATACAAGAATTATAAATAACTGATATATAAATGAATGCATGTAAAAAAAAGCAGTCCAATCTATTGTGAAAGCTTACTAGGTCCTACTACATGATTTTTCAGCAGTTGGAAATATTTTAGACACCAAACAGTCCAATTAACATGTAGAGAACAAGATTTGGACTTGAATATTGACTCAATGTCCAATCGTTGTGGCCTTCACAGTGCGGATCCACTGACCGATTTATCACCAGTCTCAGTCAGAGCCCTAATGAACTTCTATCACCCTTATCGTCTAGGTGCAAAATAGAAAAATAGAGTCCAAAAAGATGAACATCAAAAAAATTGCAGACGTTTGGGCTAATTGACGTCACCCAACGGTCATAGACAACATTCGAATGACCGACAGCTGAGCCGATGGCTTTGTCAGCTGAGCGAAACACCGGAATGATCAACCGAGGGCTCCTCGATCTAGTTGAGGAGAACGTCTGATTTGTTGACCAAACTATACCACCATACAACTTCTTGATTGTTCCTCTCAAACCCAATTACAACTTCTTGAAAGCATTTTCACTCTTCCTTCACTATCTAAACATGTGTTCTAACTCTTCCTACTCAATATCTCATGATATAACCCACTTCAAACTCATTCTATAAGATCCTAATTTGCTACTAATGCAGGTAACTCAAACGATTTTGTGCCCATTAACATGCAAAAATATTATGTATAACTTCAAAACCAACTTTCATAATTTCATCAAACCAAACTCTTTTCTTTCAATGTCATCGTTACAATTCAGCCCACTGCCTTATAACCTTTGAACCAAAAGTTTTGGATACTACAATGAATTTTTGATTAATCAATTGAAGAAATCATAAAATTCAACAACAATGGATGTGATCTAAGTTCACATAAGATCATTCAATAACATGTTCCTTTCAAAGATACTGAGTAAATATAATATGAGCAATGCTCTAAGGACCTAAATGCAGCTGTTAAATTAGTTATAATATACAATGTTAGAAGGAGCCCACCTTTGATCAAACAACTATAATTGATTAGGGCTCCAAATTATGTCTAAATAGCATTTTTCCTATAATTTTTAGACATGAATGACATCATTCGACTATAGTACTGAATGAGCTACCATAAGCAAAATTACAACTAGATAGGACTTGATTAAAATTTAGGTCAAATGTACAAATCAATGGAGTTATTTTATGACAAAAAAGAAATTTGCATTGATCCAACTACGTTAGTATCAGTCCCAAACAACTATAATTTTGGTATAACCTCAACAAATTAGTACTACCCTGAACGGCAACAACAAACTGGGCAACTTCGATAGTTTATTCCTCCTCTAGCGAGAACTAAACTCTCTTTGTAAGGAAAGAAATAACCAGAGCCCTCATGAGTTGAGATATCTTTGACTTGTTTGGTGTGGGGGTCATACAAGAAAACGTTATGGCCGTATCCTAGCCAAGGTCCAAAGACGATGTCCCCATTCAACCACCCCAATGGTCTCCCAACCCTTGAAAGATGTTCAACTCTTAGTTCTTTAATCCAAGACACCTCCTTAGTACCACCACCACCATAGTCATTCATCACCCACATCTCACAGCGAACAGTCACTCCTGGAAACCAACTTTCTAGGTAAACAAACATGGCTAGTGATTCTTTATATTCCACAAGTCTCCTATATGTTTCCAACCAAGGAGTATCAGCATATGGCACTGTTATTTGCCTAAACACCTCATTTTCCAAATCAAACGTAAGTACGTAATTATAACTTATCCGATTCCCAAATCCAGTAGCCATCCAATGCAAAAATCTATTCTTGGTAACGACTGAATGTCTTTCACTAATTGCACACGCACCACTGCCTTAACCTCCCTCCAAGTATTAGTGCTCAAGGTAAATACCTCAACTTTGGTGGGTCTCTGACAACCATAATCATCCTCTATTCTGACCAATTGTAATCCTTAGATTTTTATGAAAAGAAAATCCACAAAAGTCAAAATAATGTTCTTGTCCGAATGCATCCGATTCGGAGTTCCGGAAGATGCCTGACCTCTCTAGTGGCTGGGTTCCACAAGGTGTAACATGAGGTTGAGTCATGAACACAAACTAAGCCATTAGAAATATTTACAATGAATGAACAATGCCAAAATGTTTGAAAAGGGCTGGGTATCTTCATGGCCACATGAAATCTTTCATTATAAAACAAAGACATGACAACGGTATCACCCAGGTCAGTAACAAAATAGGGTAAACTGAGTAGAACAACAGTGTTACTGGTATTGTTGTTTTGATTGAGAAGATGCATGGTGATGAAAGGAGCAGAGTGGGGAAGAGAACACCAAGTTTTTGATACGCACTTGAACCGCATAAGAGACTTACAGGTAGTCTTGAAAGGATATCCAACATTAAATCTCCTGGTAAATATTGCAGCAGAGGTCCATTGCCTCCTTTATATCTGATTCTCTGCAAACCAGTAACAATCTCTCTTGCCATTGTTTCAGATTTCCCCATCATCTTTCTTCTTCCCACAACTGGGATATTTTCTCTCAAAGTACTCTCTCCCTCTCTTCTGTGGTCTTTCTCTCATAGTAGGATCAAAGATTCAAACAAAATTTAGAAAACCAAAAAGCGAACGAAGCAATGAAAGTCACGAATCCTTGCGACGAAACTAAAGCAAACTGTATTACATCAAACCATGCAGCCTATTTCAAGACCGCTACAATGAATAGCTAAAAACATAAACAAATCTTATTTCTAATCTAACTAAAATTCCTTATTGCCGTATGACTTAAAAGATTTCTTAAACTAAAAGACAAATATCCTATTCTAAAATAAATTATTAAATAACTAATGAGAGTTTGAGTCAAACTCCAATATCTTTATCCCACGGCCAAACGACCACAGTAAAATTGAACTTAGATTGTCTTACTTAACCTAGTTTCGTCTTTCACAAATCAAAACTATTGCCAGTCAAAATGGATAACCAAGCCTAGACAAACACCACAAAAATATTAAAAACTAAAAAGAAAAATTATTTGTACCTAAAAAACCTGACATATCTATCTACTATCTATAGATAACAATGTACGCAATTTTCTAGATTTTTGGATGCTTATTGGTTGTTAAGTTTCAATTTGG